AGAGAGACGATTAGAGAAAAAAAGTACCATAATTGCGAAGGATGAATTCCCACCGTGGTGCAGCACAATTAAAACAAAAATACAGAATTAGTTTTCAGTTTGTGCATTTTTTTTCCTTTTCTTTTTCTCTGAAAGATCATCTTGGGTGTAGAGGTTAAGGCAGCCATCTGGAAAACTGGACGACCATGAGTCCTAATGCTAGACACGAAGCCGGCTGACTGACCTTGTGCCAGCCACTCTCCCTCAACCCTAGGAAGCAGGCAATGGCAAATTGCTTCTGAAACCTTGCCAAGAAAATGGCAACGTTTTGTTCAGGCTGTTGCCAGGAATCAAAGATCGAAAAGCAAGCCAGATGGCAATTTAGGGGCCAAACACTTTGGAAGATGGAACAGAATGCCTCTGAACATGGGCCGTGTGCAAGAATTTATTTCCAGTAACCAAAATGAGCTCATCTTTCTCTACACAAACACACAGACACACAAAATCTTCTTTTGTTTGTTTTTAAGGGCAGCCTAATTTAGAAAGAGAGATTTTTCAAACGCCAGGGTCTGGATTTTGTGAAAGATATAGGCCTCAGAAAAATTCTTAGGGATCCACGTTAGATCCCAGTATGAGCCAAGTCTTCCTGTATACCTGGAAGGAACAGTAGGGTTAAAACTGTAAGAAGTAATTTTTAAAAAACCCTTCCTCCACAGCTGCACAGTTAAAATTGGAGCGAGGTTTTAATGGGAATTGGGGAAAAAAGAGAAAGAAACTTTTTTTTTCTCTGTTAGGCATCCTCTCTAGAATTCAAAAAAAGGACAACCAAATGTTCTAAGCACAGATGGAGCTGGTTGGTTGTTGTTTTTTTCTACAATTTTCCCCAGAGGTAAACAGTCCAAAGAAAATAAGACTTTAAAAACTGGCAATTATTAGATCCTCTGGAAAAGAATGCAATCAGAAGAAGTGATTAAATTTCTCACTGCTGCCGGTACAAAAATGACTCTGGGGCCTTGTGAGAACTTTGATATTGAAATATATTTTATTCTTTATACTGTTTCCACCTTCCCTTGAAATATTAACGGAGTCCACAGCGGTCTGAGAATCAGCATCGCCACTAGAGAAATTGAAAATTAGCCAACTTCCCCAAACCCCCCAAATAGGTTACCCAGATCGAATCCACTTTATCAAAACGATAAAGTCTGCAAACACAAACAAGAGCAAATTAAATTAGGTCTCCCAGAGGAACTGCACGTTTACAGAAATAAACATGCACACACAGACAGAGAGAGAGAGAAATACATGCCCCTCAAGGGTCACCCTAGAATTAGCTTGTAGAAGTGAACCCCACTTCTCTGCAGCTGCTCCTAAAGGCAAACTGTTTTGCTTTTAGGGATAAATATTTCTTTCCCCCTCCAAAATTTTGGGCACCAGCAACCGGTTCCACAGAGAGAGGTTTTTCCGTGGGCATGGTTTTACGTGCTGCCTGCATCCCACGGATGAGGGATGCATCCCACGGATGAGGCTTTTCCTGTTTCCGCGGACCAGTTGCTGGCATTCTGAGGACCAGGGCCGGTCCACGGACTGGGGGTTGGGGTACCCCTGCCCTAAAGTATGCATTGTTCCTCTTATTTTAAGTTAGGGCAACACCTTTAGCTGGTAAGGCGAACTTCCTGGATCAAATGTTCAATTCTGAAAAACGCTAGTATCCTTTTACTTTTTTTTCCCTCTCCTCTTCTCCTTCCCACTGTAAATAGAAATATTTTTTTTAAAAAAAGGAACACCCAGGTCACTTCCATTTGAAGAGCCACGAAGATTCCTCCCACCCAGCCCTCCCCAGCTGTCAGCCTGGCACACCCAGGGATACAAATAGTTCTAATTATTGCGCTCTAAAGTAATCACCGCTGTGTTCCCTTTTTAAAGAGAGTATCACTCTGGATTGAAAGGGAGCGTCAGCACAGCACCACTTAAAAATAAAAATAAAAGCCAGAAACCATTCAGACCCTGGGAGAGCATTTAGGAGGGAGAAAAGGGGAAAGGGAAGTTGACACACTGTTGATTGATCCCATCAGGTAGGAGGAGGAAGGAGGAAGGAGGCAGGAGAGGAGGCAGGAGGAGGAGGAGGAAAGAAGAAGAAGAAGAAGAAGAAGAAGAAGAAGAAGAAGAAGAAGAAGAAGGAGAAGGAGAAGGAGAAGGAGAAGGAGAAGGAGAAGGAGAAGGAGAAGGAGAAGGAGAAGGAGAAGGAGAAGGAGAAGGAGAAGGAGAAGGAGAAGAAGAAGGAGAAGGAGAAGGAGAAGATGATGATAATGATTGTCACAATGTAAAAATATATGTTGATGCTCTAGGAAAAGTACAGAGCAATGCTATAAAGATGATTAGGAGGACTGGAGGCTGAAAACATATGAAGAACAGTGGCAGAAATTGGGTACGTCTAGTTTAATGAAAAGAAAGAGTAGGAATGGCATGATAGGAGTGTTCCAAATTTGAGGGACTGCCACAAAGAAGTTTGTGTGTGGGTGTCAACCTATTGTCCAAAGTATCTGAAGTCAGAATAGGAAGCAATGGATGGAAACTCATCAAAGAGAGGTCCAATTTAGAAACTAAGGAGAAACTTCCTAACAGTGGGGGACAAACAGTCAGCGGAACAGCTTGCCACCAAAAGTCGTAGGTGCTCCAACACTGGAGGCTTTTAAGAAGATACTGGATAGTCACTTGTCTGGAATGGTAGAAGGTCTTCTGCTTGAGCAGAGGGTTGGACTAGAAGACCTCAAAGGTCCCTTCCAACTCTGTTATTCTGTTAAGCATTAGAAGGAGTCATAGATGATTGCAAGTCAATCGGAACAAAAAATTTCACCACTATTATTGCTGTTTGCTTTAACTCAAGTTGTTCCCGCCCCACCAGAGCTCATTTGCAGCTAAGCAACAGTAGGTTCCCAGTTCGCTCGTAATTCCAAAGACGCTTTCACAAATCATAGAAAATTGGAAGTGGAGGTGGAACAAGAAAGAGAAAAGTGGCTTCGGGTCAACAGCAATGCATTGTCTCCAACTCGTCTGGGCTGTTTTCAAGTAAAACCCACGAGCGTTTTTTTCCCCCCCCTTCAAACCAAGAATTCCAACCGATGTTTTGCTGAGAAAGGGCTCAGCTGACACAGCCATCAACGCTAAGAAATTAATCCATTCTGTTTGCACACAGCGAAGCGTGTGTGTCTTAAAACCAGGACCACATGGCCCTCAGGAGAAATTGGAGCTGCATGCCATCTCTTCCAATTCTCGTGCAAGAAAAACTTCTGGATGCCAGCCACTCAAGGAGCATCCAAGATAGCATAATCAACGTGCATAATTTCCCCGCAGAATAAATCATGTAAATAATAAGCTGTAAATAAAGCTGTAAATAACAGCTTCCCCTTAAGGTGCAGGGGATGGGTGGTTTTGCAAAATTCAGAGCAATATGATTCTGATGGAAGGCAAAAGAAGAGTTTAAAACCACTCCCAGAATTCCTTAGCCAGCGTGCCTGAGGAATTCTGGGAGTTGAAGTCCACGAGTCATAAAAGGGCTGAGTTTGAAGACCTCTGGTTTAAACCATGGAGGAAACTGTAAAAGGGATGCCTGGAGAGATTCTCAATCATCCAGGTCATAGTTCAAAGGTGCTGAACACAAGGTGGAAGTTTTCACAATCCCAATCGAGAGTCTTGGTTGGAAAAGATGGAAAGGCGATACCCAACTCAGAAGTACGTAGTTATGCTCTGGAATATTTGGGACCTCGATGCCCACCATCTTCAGCCAGCATGGATTTTGGCAAAGGATTGTGGGAGTTGTGATTGAAAACATTTGAACCCTCCTGTAAACGTCTGGAAAATTAATGGCCACCCTAGTTAACATTTTAAGCTACATCACTGGGTTCACATTTAACATGCTGAACCTGATTGCTATAAGATAGATAGATAGATAGATAGATAGATAGATAGATAGATAGATAGATAGATAGATAGATAGATAGATAGATAGATAGACCCAATACACAGAATTATACATTAACCCCACTGATTTGCCGTGTGAAACACACAGAGACCCAAACAGTTAAGACCAACATTAACTAAACTTTAAGCAAGGTCTTATGTCAATCTTCTGGCCCGAGTCACACCAAGTACAAATATGGTTCGGTCTATTTTCCCTTGATACGTCGTATAATGCCAGCTGTGGCGGTTCATAACTAAGTTGATAGCTTAGCAAATTGGGCAAATCCATCACCACTGCACTTTGTTCTGCAAACACAATTAAGCAAACCATGGGGAGGGTAGGATGTGTAAATCTTTCCTGTGTAGGCAGGAGGGAGCCCCATTAAGCTCAGCTATGTTTACTTCCCAAAAAGGTTTATAGAAGAACCACGTGGGCTACAGTTTTGCTTCAGTACGATTACCTCTGTAAACAGTATTATGTTTTGCATTTCAAATTGACTTCAATTGGCAACCACTTCCCCCTTTCTGCCACCACCCCCCCAAAATCCAAGAGGAACGAGTCATCGGAATGTCCCCCCCAAGATGTTTAAGCAAGGCGGATAAATCATCCTTGGGCAAAAAAAAAAAAAAAAAAAAAAAAACACTAGAGAGTAAGTACAGAAAAAGAACTCTTGGGTAAATTTAAGTTTAGCAATAAGAGTTAGACAATGCCCTATCTGGATAGTACAATCAGCACCACAAAGCACCAAATAGATCACCAGAACAGGATCCGGACCTCACACCAACCTATGAACAATTACAACCTCCAGTGGACTTTTCCTAGTCTGCCAGAATCAGCACCCTGGAGAGCTCAGCCTGTAAATTGCCATTGGCTTACATGCAATGGAGTTGCGCCCAGAGGCGAAAGGCAGGAATTAGAACCACGGACAGCACCCCATCTTGTTGCCTCGTTCAACCCCTTGAGCCCCCAACCTGAGCTTCTCACCCTTCACAGCTACACACACACACACACACACACAAACACACACACACACACACACCTCCATCCCATTGTGTCCTCTTACCTGTCCTCGTTTTGGAAGCTCTGGTCCCCCAAGAGCAAGTCTCGAAACCGATAACGGGGTGGCAGGGGAAGCACCTCGGAGTCCAGCTCGTTCATGGTCAAAGAGGAGATGTCCAGGATGACCCCGCTCTTGGTGTTGTTGGTGTTGCTTCCTCCAGCTCTTCCACCGCCTCCTGGGGACGCTTTGAACCTGCAAGGAAAAGAGGAGGCCAGAGAGTGAGAGGTTTGGAGGCAGGTTGCCCCCCCCCAGTTGGATGCAAACAGAGAAGGGAAATCCCTGCCGGATACTAAGACTGCCTCCTCTACAAGAATGGTATTTCCAGGGTGTGGCTTAGGGTCTCTCCTGAGTAGTAGAAAGTATGTTGTCCCAGCTCCAAGGGAAGGGCCAGAGCCTTTGAACTACTTTTCCTTGTAGTTTTGAACCTCAATTCCCCCCCACTCCTTCCAATCCTTCCTTTCCCCTCCTGAACAGAAATACACACAATCACAACAGCAAACAGCTCTTTACAGCCAACTCTCTTTACAGCCCTGGAGTTCCTCCCATGGGAAAAAAAGGGGGAATATGTTTGGGTGGGCAATATATACAAAAAAGGAAAGGGTGAGACAGGATGGTGACCCCCCCCCCAAAGCCATGTCTGAGACACATGGCAGAGGAAAGCAGGGGAAAAAAATATATCGTTTTGCAAATCTGTGTAATTTTTTTTAAAAAAAGGAAACTAACGGCATGGGTTTTGTTTGTTTGTTTTTTAAAATAATTTTATTAAGTCTGTCGAGACGAAACACACACACAAAAAAGAGGTGAAAATCATGGGAAAAGGGGAGAGGAAAAAGGGTAAAGAACAAAGTGTAAGGTGAAGGGGAAAAAAGACAAGAAAAACATCTGACTCCCCACTCCTTTTAGCACAGTAAATAAGCTGTGTTACAGTGAATAAGAACGTTACAGTCTCAATTTTTTACTTTTACACGCTAATACAAAGTAGCCATTTATATAACAACAAATGAATCTAATCAGGAAAAACTGGAGGAAAGGAAGAAAGGAAGAAAGGAAAGGAAGGAAAGGAAGGAAGGAAGGAAGGAGGGAGGGAAGGAAAGAAGGTAGGAAGGAAGAGGGGAGGGAAGGAAGGAAGGAAGGAAGGAAGGAAGAAAAGAGATGGGAGGGAGGTAAGGAAAGAGAACGGATGAAGGAAAGTAAGTAAATAAGTAAAGAAGGAAGGAAGGAAGGAGGGAGGGAGGGAGGGAGGGAGGAAGGAAGGAAGGAAGGAAGGAAGGAAGGAAGGAAGGAAGGAAAGAAGGTAGGAAGGAAGAAGGGAGGGAAGGAAGGAAGGAAGAAAAGAGATGGGAGGGAGGTAAGGAAAGAGAATGGATGAAGGTAAGTAAGGAAGGAAGGAAGGAAGGAAGGAAGGAAAAAGGGAGGGAAGGAAGAAAAGAGATGGGAGGGAGGTAAGGAAAGAGAACGGATGAAGGAAAGTAAGTAAATAAGTAAAGAAGGAAGGAAGGAAGGAGGGAGGGAGGGAGGGAGGGAGGAAGGAAGGAAGGAAGGAAGGAAGGAAGGAAGGAAGGAAGGAAGGAAAGAAGGTAGGAAGGAAGAAGGGAGGGAAGGAAGGAAGGAAGAAAAGAGATGGGAGGGAGGTAAGGAAAGAGAAGGGATGGAAGAAAGGAAGTAAGTAAGCAAATAAGGAAGGAAGGAGGGAGGGAGGGAAGGAAGGGAAGGAAGAAGGGAGGGAAGGAAGAAAGGAGATGGAAAACCAGAATGAGGGGGCAGGCGGTTCCTCCATTCTTTTAAAGTCAATATTTTCTCATCATTTCCCTCCCTGAATTCTGTTCTATAATTCTACTCTCCTCCTTCAGCAAAAACAGTTGCATTCCTTTTCTTTCCCCCTGCAGGACCTACCAAGAGACGATGGGATTTTATCAGCGCAACGGACATTAGTTAATGTACATTCATTCAGTCGGGGCCATGTCTTTATTTCGTACCGGAACAGAGCACTAAATTCATGCACAAAAAAAATACAGCCTATAAAATGTAACCAAATATAAAATGCCAGCACAGTGAATTATTTTATTGTTTAGTTTCCATGGAAAACTGAGAATTTCTCCTGGGTCTAAATCCATTTCCTCAGCCATGACCTGACTTGCTAAGTTCCTGCAGAAAGCATCTATTTCTCTTTTCCTTATATTTTTTTTTTTTATAGTTCTGTCCTTCCTTACAAGCTCAGAAGCAAATCAATCCCCTCAAATAAGCATTTTTTAAAAAAAAATCCAAGAAAAATAACATTTGCAGAGGAAAGACGGTAAAATATTGTTATTGTTTTTCAGAGAAGCTTAAATTTAGAAAGAAAGTTTAAAGTCTTCAGTGGATGCCTGTCAATCTTTGCCCAACTTTCCCTATCCCAAACGCCTTGGATTATAGCCACCGTTATGTCGTGTAGGCAGTAAATGATGGAGCTGTAGCTCCTTACATCTACAGGGTGCCCAAAAGAGGGAAGACTTTTATATTTTAGAGGTTTTATCTAAAGATGCCGAGCAAATGGATTTTCTATAGCTGCCAGAGGCTGGTCTGCACAATCAGAATAATAGAGTGGGGAGGGACCTTGGAGGTCTTCTAGTCCAGCCCCTTGCTCAAGCAGGAGATCCTATATCACTTCAGACAAATAGCTTTCCAATCTCTTCTTTTTTAAAAAAAAAAAAAAACCCTCTCTTAAATTCTAACACTGAATTCAACTTCCAGTTGTGTCCTGCCAGATAGTGTCGAAGAGCTTCCCATGTCAAAACCCACAGCACATTTTCTAAGGTTCAGGGCAATTTATTCTAAACGATGAGTTTGAAGATGTACCAAGTTAGCTAAAAGTCATGGCGTCCACCAATTCAGTGGGAAAAAAAAATCAGAGAAGAGCAACTAAGATGATCCAAGGCCTGGAGACTAAAACATACGAAGAACGGCTGTGGGACTTGGGTTTGGCCAGCCTAAAGAAAAGAAGAAACAGGGGTGACATGATAGCAGCATTCCAGTATTTGAGGGGCTGCCACAAAGAAGAAGAGGTCCACCTATTCTCCAAAGCACCAGAGGGAAGGACGAGAAACAATGGTTGGAAGATGATCAAGGAGAAACTTCCTAACTGTGAGGACAATTAACTATTGGAACAGCTTGCCTCCAGAAATCGTGGGCGCTCCATCGCTGGAGGTTTTTAAGAAGAGGCTAGACAGTCAGTTGTCTGAGATGGTGTAGGTTCTCCTGCTTGAGCAGGGGGCTGGACTAGAAGACCTCCAAGGTCCCTTCCAGCTTCTATTCTATTCTATTCTATTCTATTCTATTCTATTCTATTCTATTCTATTTCTATTCTCCTCAAAAGAATTAACCTATCTAGCATCCAAACAAGGCTGAACACAGATCATCTCGTATCCAGCAGAGGGTTTTCCTACAGTGACAGCCACTAAGGCAGGGACAAAGGAAACCAACCCCTGATAGATCTTTAACTGTAGTTTTCTTTCCTCCAAACACCAGAGAAAGTAGCTCAAGATGATGAATTAAGTCAACCCACGATTTGAACAACAGCTCAGCCCTGATTGGCAGAAGATCCCTCAACATGCTGTCTCATTGTGACTTGAGTTGTGTGGATTCAGTTAGAGGCACACCACACCACCCTTTACAAAATGCCAGGAATGTTACTGTCCCCCCCCCCAGATTAACCCCGATCTGGGGACAAGGAAAGTAACCCCACCAGTTGATCGGCACAAAGCGAGCTCTTTCTGCTAAGTCTTTGCAAGTCCGTCCACCGATAGGCAAAGCTTCTCTGTTCCATGGCCTTAAGAGGATAATGGAATTGGAAGGGACCTTAGAGGTCTTCTAGTCCAGTCCCCAGCTCGAGCAGAAGACTCTATACCCTTTCAGACAAATGGCTGTCTAATCTCTTAAAAACCTCCAGTGATGGAGCATCCACAACTTCTGGAGGGAGGTTGTTCCGCTGGTGAATTGTTCTCACTGTTTCAGAAATTTCTCCTTAGTTCTAGATTGCTTCTCTCCTTGATTAAGCCATGACTCCTGCAGAGACACACCTTCTTCTAAGGAGTGGAGAGATTCTGCCTTGGAGTCAGAAAGAGGGGCACCCAGGCAAAAACTCTCCACGAGAGGCCGATTGAAAGAGGGTTAGAAGTTGGACCGAGGCTTCGTTCCCTAAATCTGGGCTTCTGAGATTTGCGAGTTCAACTTACAGCATCACCGGGCGCCAAAGAACTGCTTTTTCAACCAATACAGTCACATTTCTCCCCCATTCTTCTCCCCCACTACCACCACCACCACCACCCCCAGGCTGGCCAAAAAAAGAGAGATCAGATCAGGCTCCCAAAATGTCAGCTTGCCATTTTTAAAGCCAGCCAGTCTGTCTCTTTTTCCAGCCAACACTCACCTCGTCAGCTTTTGTGAGAGATCCTCTCTCCGGGAATAACACCTCACCGTCATCCTGGGCGCGAGCATCTCAAGGCTGAGTATGAAGGTGGCTCTCTCTCTCTCTCTTCACAATCCCCCTACTCAAATCAAGCCCAGCAGCTGGGCAGCCCCCCACCCCATCCGGCTCCTGAAAAGCAGGCAGAATCCTCCATCCAAGCCATGGCTTTGCAGTGTGTTTCTTTCAGGGGGAGGGAGAGAAGGAAAAATTTAAAATGATGGTAATCTTCTCGTCCTTCTCCACCAAGCCAGGTCCTACTTTCTCAGTTGATCCCCAGCTTTCTCAGACTGGGTGCCAAAGATAGCAAACCCAAACAGGCCTTCAGCATAAACATCCAGAGAGACATACGGTACCCCCACGGTAAGGACCCAGCAGCTCACAATGAGAGAAAGGGAAGACGCTTAAGGCACAGTCTGCCTCTTGGTGCCACGTGCTGGTGATGCAAAAAAATGAGAGAGAGAGAGAGAGAGAGAGAGAGAGAGAGAGAGAGAGAGAGAGAGAGAGAGAGAGAGAGAGAGAGAGAGAGAGAGAGAGAGAGATAGATTTTCAAATTCCGTGGAAGGCAGCCAATATTTCTGATTTTTTTTTTGTAAGCCCCACCCTGTTCTCCATTTCTCTAACATATGCTTTAAGCAGTTAATGAGGTTTAGCAGAGGGGGGAAAAAGACGCTTAAAGGAGAGATGAGAGCTTCAGTATGTGCACAAAGGACAGGCAATGAAACTGGGTGGTCGTCTGGCATTGCAGAGG